TAAATAAACGCATGACGTTTGGAAGAACACATTAATGTTTTGTGTGAGTGTGTGTGTGTGTGTGTGTGTGTGTGTGTGTGTGTGTGTGTGTGTGTGTGTGTGTTTAGATTACCTTATTCTCAGCGTAGGCTAGCCAGCGGCTTCCCAAAGCTATTGGATTTATGCTGGGGCCTGGACAGGGGTAGCAGCCTGAAAAGACAGAAAGATTGACATTGCCGTACTACAAGGGGAACCAATGCTTAATACATCATACAAAATTACATTTTAGTAAATAAACGCATGACGTTTGGAAGAACACATTAATGTTTTGTGTGAGTGTGTGTGTGTGTGTGTGTGTGTGTGTGTGTGTGTGTGGGTGTGTGTGTTTTTGTGCATGAAAGTGGAGGGATGACGTGTCAGTGGTCGTGTGTGTTTGAACAGCATGACCTAATGGAGACTGTTGTGTGGTACCCAATAAATTGAGGATGGCTCCTCTGCTAAAAGACTAACAATAAACCCCTGTGGATACAACAAGAAAGAAATATAAAGTTGTTATAAAGTCCAATACATTTAAATGTTAGGATGCGTGCGTGCGTGTGTGTGTCAACATAAATATAAATAGCAACAAATAATCCTAACATTTAAATGTATTGGACGTTATAACAACTTTATATTTCTTTCTTGGTTTTTTTACCACTCAATACATTTTGAAAAAACGCAGTGTGGATTGCTGAGCTCAAACTATCAAGATATCTATCACTTCTGCTGCATTATAGAATCAACCAAAAGAAGGCAAACATCTGCTTCTTAACAACTGAAAACATTATTGTTTAAAATAATATATCTTATTTCAATGCAAGCAGATACAGACAGGGCCAAACATTTTTGATTGCTCCCACTGTGACGAAAACACACAGACATGAATATCTAATGTAAGTGCGTGGAGGTGTGGGGAAAATGGTTTGCTGGTAATTACTGTGCTCTGGGAGCAGATGAGGTAGAGTCAGCAATTTAGCGCGCTGTGTTGGGAAATGGTTCGGTTGGGGAAAAGTGTGTTGAGGTTAGCCACAAGGACTGCTGCTAACGCCAAAGAAGCATTTTGTGCCTCTCCAAGGCAGAGGGGAGCACAGGCGGTGAGATAACGTGTTTCACATCCTGGAAGGAGAGCAGGGGGGTAATCGGGAAGAAGAAACAGACATGATGGGTGGACTCAAAAGAAAAAGAAAGGGACAGCTCACACACACCACAGGATAAGCCTTGTGTGCTCGGAACAACAGGACTTGTCCACCACCAAATCCCTGGAGAAAAAACAGACAGGAATGGCTGATCTAAGTACCATTTGTGTACTGTTTTTACGGGTCAAACAGACCAAACAACGTTATGGAGAGGAGGCCCCTGCATTCAGAAGCGATTAATAACTATTGAGCATGTTTGGTTTCCTGTGGCTCAGACACTGATAAGGAAGGCAGGCAGACAAAGAGGAGACACATTAAAGGCAGCCAGTAAGGTCAGTTTACTACAGTCAATGACTTAAGTGGACGGCAATGGCCTTGTAATACAGTCTGGCCTTTCCTTCGCAGCCTCCTCGAGCGGACATGGCAGGAACAGCCAGGAAGATGCAAGAGCTGTGTTGTAAGCTGTTTCGAGTTTCAATGGAGGACCTCACATCTTGTTTTGATAAAAGCAGTTGAGTCACCAAGCAAAGCTTAAAAGAACCACACTGCAGTGGGCTGGTTACATTATAAGCAAGTTCAAGCCAAATCACAGATCATGTTGAGTAATGCTGGTATTGATTGGCGTTGTTTGCTTTTCGCTACTTTATACAGTACAGGAAAATGGGGTTCAATGTGGACCAACATTCGACAAACATACATTTCTATTGGCACTACAATAATATTTGACATGTGATGACATTGTGATGGTTCCTCGGTATATAATTCACCATTGGGGTGTGGTTGAACATCCGCAGACACAAAAACGCTCCTCAAAAACGAAATTACTTTTTTAAATTATGCTTCTAAACTTTGGTTAGCATAGAACACTTCTATATAGTTGGATATAAAAACACTTGAAGTTAAAAAGAATGTCTTACTTGTTACAAAGAACTTCTTTGTGAAGGTGCAGCTGTCAAAGGCAGCAATCTTCTCTTGAAGGCTCACAACAAGAATACTTAAAATAGAAGAAAATATTCAATTCGTACAAAGAAAAAAACAAGCTGATTTTAAATGTCAGGGTATTGATTTAACAATCAGACGTACTGTTTGTTGCAGTTGAGATTATAGATGGGCGTCTTGAACTGAATTGATTTGACCATTTCCCCCGTCCGTAGAGAATACAGGTCAACGCAACAGTAGGGAGGGCTTGTCCTGAAAAAAAAAAGAAAATGCTTAAGTCGGTCTCCGAATAATTGACTTGTCCCTTTAATAAACGGTTACAAGGGAGGATAAATACACTAGTGTTGAAAGATAACCAGCACACAATGACCCTAATTTTCTTTTCATCATACCATACACTTCCAAACAAAAATTACATATGTGACTATCTTTCTATTAATAATACATTTCTACCATATCTGGCGCAGAGTCCTGCATCGGGTCGGGTATCCGCGGGTACCCGACGGGTGACCCGCAAAAAAGGTGATTTGCGGGTGGTATTTTTTCAAACGCTTTTTTCCGGGTTCGGTTCTGGGTAAAACAAAGATGATGCGGGTCGGGTTGCGGGTGTTGCATACTAAATATATTTAAATAATAATAATTTAGTTTAATGTTTAAATCCTCAGACCTCTCCCCCGCGGGACCGAGCATAATCATAACCTCTGCAGCGCATCAATCTGCTGCTGAGCGCGCCACATTCTGAATGGCTGAGGTGAAGCTCTCTAGCGGAGAATACAGCATTTTCAATAACTCTTCCTCAAGAGCGAAATCCAACGTCTGGGAGGCTTTTGGTGTCATCCTAGATGCAGAAAATAACCAAAAAAAGAGGAACAGAATCTATTTAGTAAGAAGATAAAAATGTTATGTTAATTAACAACACGGTCTCTAATGTAAGTCTAAAACGAGAAAAAACAATTGTATGTATACACACATAATAAAGATCCGATCCGTCTTCAATGTTGGTTTACATAAGTTTAAGTTAAGGTCTATTAACTTTTACCACTAAAAAAAAACAGGAAGTTGATGTTCCGAGACTAAGACTCGTATATTGCTGGGATATATTTTCTTGTCTGTCTGTAAATATATATATTTTATTGTTCAGTTCGAACGTCACTACCCTCAAGATAAAATTAGACTACACAGCGGTTTAGTGTCTCATCAGGACGTGCCAGACTAAAGTTCTGGGCGAGGGCGGGGCGTGGGCGCTGCACGTATGGCTTGGGCGGGGCGATGGGCGTGTATAACGGTTAATCAAGGCGTTGGGCTGGGCTGGGCGGCCGTGTGTCTAGAGCGTTGGGCTGGCTTGGGCGTATATATATTCGTCACTTTTGCACGTTAATAATTGTGTGCGTCAACGGTATAAACCGAGATTTTTC